AAACAAAAAAAGCAAACAAGCAAGCAAAATTAGCAAAAGAAGCAAATGAAAAAAAATAGTAGAGAGCAGACAAGACCAAGTAGAATAATTTGTTTTCCTAAAAAGATCTTCTAATATAACCCAGTTAGACAAAAAAAGAAGAAATCCTTTGGGACAGCTGTGACACCAAAAACATCCACCATAGCTGGGCACACCCAATCAACCGATAATAATAAATAAACACTTTTTTAAAGCATACCCTTAAACAAGCAATAGGTCAATCAAGAAACCAAAAAGAAAATTTTAAGTTGCTTGAAAGAAATAAAAATGGAAATACTAAACCCTCTGAGATAAATCAAAAGCTGAACTAAGAGAGAAAACTTGGGGCTGGAGAGTTGGCTCAGCAGTTAAGAGCACTGACTGCTCATCCAAAGGACTTGGGTTCAATTCCCAGCACCCACTGTCTTTACCTTCAAGATCTGCCAACCCTCACACAGACATACATGCAGGCAAAACACAAGTGCACATACAAGAAAATAAAAAAGTTAAAAAAATAATAAAGGTTCTCTTTAAAAAAAAAAGAGAGAGAGAAATCTTAGCATCTGTATCAAAAATTGAGAAAAACTTCAGATAAACAACTCAATGATGCAAATCAAGTAGCTACAAAAACAAGAACAAAACTTAGCAGAAGAGATGTAACAAAGATCAAAGAAAAAATAACACAATATAGATATGAAAAATTACTGAAACAAAACTGGGTTTGTTTTTTGTTTTACAAAACAAAACAATGTTTAGCTACACTAACTGAGCAAAACAGAGAAAAGACCAAAATAATTAAAAGCAGGAAGGAAAAAAATCAATGTCACTGATACAAAAGGTCATTAGAGACTGTTAGGAAGAACTAGATCCAACAACTAGAATGACCAAGAAGAAATGCTGAATTTCTGGTGCATGTAACCTACCAAGAGTGAACCATAAGAACATGGAAAATCTGAAAAAGCACAATGAATTTCAAGAGAATACCAGTGACACAAAGTCTCCGGAGGGGAAAAAAAAAAAAAACTTGGGCCCAAATGCTTCACTGTGGAAATTTACCAAGCAAGCATTTAAAGAACTAACTTTTTTTTTTTCCTCAGATTACAAAGGTGTGGGGGGGGCAACAGAAATAGAAGGAATCCTTCCAAACTTATTCTTTCAGGCCAAAATATTGCAATACCAAGCCAGACAATGACATTAGATACTACAGGAAAGAAGGAAAGAAAGAAACAGAAAGGGGGGGGGGGGAACCCAAAAGACAGAAATGAAGAAAGAGAAAAACAACAGACCAATATCTCCCATGAAAATTCTTGATAACAATAATACCCAACAAAAAAAAAAATCAGTATAAGATCCAAAAAATTATGTTTCTTGCTCAAATGAGATTTACCTCAGAAATGCAGAATGGTTTAACATACGTAAATCTATAAACATAATATGTCACATTGATAGAATGAAAGTCAAAATAACTTATGGTCATCTCAAACAGGTACAAAAAAAGCATTTGGTAAAATCCAATATCATTTTGTTATTATACTACCTCCAAACCAATTATACATAACAGGAATATTCCTCAGCAAAACAAATAACCCACAGCCAACAACTTATTTAAGGCTGAAGTTCTATCCTCTAGGTCAAGAACAGTAACAGTCTACATTCACGGCTTCAACTGGGTATTAGAAATCTTACCTGGGGCATCAAGATAAGGGGTAAAGGGCTAGAAAGGGGGGGGGGCTAGTTATCCCTGGTCACAGACAATGTGATTTTTAGATGTTATGATTTTTATGACATGATATTAGATATTATGATTTTAGAGAAAAACTAAAGGCTCCACCAAAAGCAAACAAAACACCCCATTAGACTGATAAAGAAATTCAATAAGGTTGTAAGATCGAAATCAGCACACAAAAATCGGCAGCATTTTACATCAGTAGCGAAAGTGCTGGGAGAGATATCATTCAAAAGAGCCAAAAGTCATCAAGTACTTCAGAACAAACAACCAAGGAATTTTGTGATCTCTACAATGAAACCCACAAAACACTGATAAAAAGAAACTGAAGGAGGGCAGGTACTGAGGGCGCAGCTCAGTGGCACAGAGTTTATGTGGCATGCCTGAAACTTTCATTCCACTACCACAAAGAAAATAACCCTTAAAGAGTGGATAGGAGCCTGGCACAGTAGCATTCGCCTTTTTACCCCAGCACTCAGGGAGACAGAGGCAGGCAAACTCTGTTTGACACCAGGCTGTTCCACAAAGCGAATCTAGGACAGCCAAGATTTCACAGAAAAATTCCGTCTCAAAAAAAAAAAAAAAAAGGGGGGGGGATGGGACAGACACACACACACACACACACACACACACACACACACTTGAGTGCACACACAAAGACAGGCATTATATTGTTCCTGAAAAAAAAATATATTGCTAAAATCTCCATACCTCACAAATGGAATCTACAGACTTAATATAATCCCTAACAAATGCCACTGCCATTCTTAGAAATAGAAAACAAACAAAAACCCACTGTTAAAATTGATATGGAACCACAAGAGACTCTCGGTAGCCAAAGCAATTGTGAACAAAGGAACCCAGCCTGAGGTATAAACAACTCTACGAAGCCACTGGAACGAAAGCCATATGGTACTGTCGTAACATAGACCTACACACCAAGAGAACAGAGTAGAGAACCCGAGAATAAGAACTTATTTACAGCCAGTGACAGGCAACAAAGGCAGACGTCAGAGAAACAGGCTCCCAGATATGTGGTGTTGAGAAAACTGCAGGAAAGTGAAACTGGCACATTTCTCCCCGTGTGAGAAATCGGCTCAGAGCGGTGGCTTAAACGTGAGAGCAGAGACTATAAACCTCGTAGAAGAAAGCAGAGAGGAGAAGTTGTGCGACATGAGTCTCCAGGTGAAGAACATACACATCAAAGGGAGAATTTGGCAACGGCACTGTGCCGAGTGAAAAGCTTCCGCACATGGGTGTGTCTGTAGAGGCAGAGCAGTGGCCAGTGTTTGACAGCACAGCAGGATAAGCACGAAGATTGTGTGTTGTGTGACTGTTTGGTGTGTAGAGAGGATCTGAAATGTTCCCAGACCAAAGGAGTAGACACACACACACACACACACACACACACACACACACACACACACACTGAAAAATAATAAAGTTGAAAATATAAAGCTGGGCACGGTAACACATGGCTGGAATCCCAGCATTCGAGAGCCAGGGAGGGACGCTTGCTAAGTTCAAAGCTAGTGTGAACTATACATGTCTTGAAAATTAAAACAAAACAAAAAAATCAGAAGAGAACTTACTGTTTTAAACAGCACGCTTAACTTCCATGCTCTTTGTTTCAGAAAGAGGATATGTTTGTTGCTTGACCACAATATAAGTTAGAAAGATATTTTCATTGCTTAGTTTGGATGAAAGAAGCTATAGTTTGAATATCCTGGCAGCCATATGTGTAACTGATAATGAAACAGAGTATTTTTCTAGTTTAGGGAATAATTATAAGCTTGGCATTTATCAAAACAAAGCTCACACAAGATGTGGCAACCCATTGATGCCTTGATTGTGGAAGTGCTGGCCAAACAACTTAGCATAAACACACACACACATGCACACACACATACAAGTGTATGCACACATATGGACATACACACACACAAGTGAAGCAAGATGAACGGGTTTGATAGGTCATCAGTTTCCAGGCTAGAACACTGAACTCCAGTGATTTACTGTAATAGGGCTAAATCGTGGCTGTCACCTGGACTACACCCAGAATTAACTAAAAACCCAAGCAGCTGACACACCTGTGAGAAATTTTTAGCTATTTGGATCTTTGAGATAGAAAGACCCATGTTAAATCCAGATTTTTGAGATAGGAAGACCCACCCTAACCCTGGATGGACCACACCTTCTCGAGGCTGCCCAGGACATGGGAGAGGAAGGCTTTTGCTCTTTGCCTGTTGTTGGCCCTCACTCTCACTGGCAAGTTCATCCACCCTGCTGCTGAGGCACGTCTTCGCTGGCATTAGAGCCTGTTTCTTCGGAAATCTGTCATATACTGAAGACCAGCTGAGACAGCCAGCCTCATGGACTGAACTATTAGATTCTTGAATAGAGACACAGGCATTATTGGAATAGTTAGACCACAAACTGTAAGCCATTCTAATAAGTCATACATATGTATATAATATATTATGTATATATTATATATATATATATACATAATATATATATATATTTTGTATATATATTTGGTCTTCTACTGACCTCAACTCACCACTCCTTGCTGCTGGACTTCCCTGAACTCAAGGTTACCTTGGATAACATATATATATGAGAGAGAGATGTATACATATAACCCTGACAAATACAACTACCATGCAGTTAATGGAAACTATACAGGGTACTTGGGCATTGAGCCAAGCCCATCCTTTTTCCCTTTACATAACCCTGTAGGGAATTTGGGACTTCTTTGTTTTGTCTCTTTCAATTCCATGTATGTCTATGATGATCACAAAATAAGAAAGAAAAAAAACAAGAAAGCAACATCAGTGTTTAAAGATGTGTGTATGCTTGACTCCCAGTACTGCAAACCAAATCAAACAAAACTGCGTGAATTATATACATCCATCCACAGACCCAGACAGAGCCCACTGCTCTTGGGGATATACACCAGCCTTAGACCATCAGGAAAACCAAGCAGAACGATAGTGGGAGAAGCAGCTATGGGAGACATATTTACTGTTCCCAGTTCACCCTTCATGGCTACTCAGCTTTGTGCTATTGGCATTTCTCACTGGCAGGATAATTTTCTGTTGAGTGGGGACAAAATGGACATTTCAAAACTAAAGCAAACAAGAGTAAGACCCAGCGGCCCACGGTGACAGCTCGGCATGGCAGCCTAGCAAATGTGTGTGGAGGGGCCAGAGACGGAGCCCCGCACTGTGGGAAAGAAGCAAGCGGATCTTACGGCTGGAGATGCAGTAGCAGAGTCTGCCGTTGATCTTGCGGAACAGCTGCTTGTTGATAGGCCAGATGACCAGCGTGCACAGCTGGATGGCATTGACGATGAGCCCCGAGGCGATGAACACGTAGCAGAAGACCAGGTGACACAGAAACTGGGACTTCAGCAGCCCGATGAGGTCCATGATGTAGGGGAGTCTCAAAATTGGTAAATATTCGTGGTGGAATACTTCCAGAAGGGAGAAAGATCCGGGGCTCAGGAAAGCGTCTGAAACACACGAAAGCTGTACATTAGTGAAATCATGGTGTGCTCTATGCTAGAGAGAACACACTTAGAAAGAAGAATATGTACAGGGGTTAAAGGTGACTAAATTTTATTTCGTAGGCATCAATACAGTCGGTCTTACTTCCTGTTGGGCACAGTCTAGGCCCTGTTAAAATAATCTTCCCTTAATCCTTCCAGCTGCCTCTGGGATTGGCCCCTTTATAACAAACAGGTAAGGAACCAGGCCTGGAAAAGTGAAGCAACTGAACCAAAGTCATCCAAGTTGTCATTCAAACAGCGGCCAAGGTAGCATAGATTCTCAGACCCACACTGAGCAGCCCCTGCTCGGGACCTTCTCCTCAGGCCTCATAGCCTCACCCAGTCCTTCCCCATCCTCCTCCGCTTGCTGACCTACTAACCTCAACTCAACACTCCTCACTGCTTCCCTGAACTCAAGCTTACCTTGAGTGACATGACATAATATTTATATATCATGAATATATCATATTTGTAACATATAATATATATTTGTTGTTTGTGAAAGGACTTAATAAAGGGAGTTGTCAATGGCTGAAGTCTTCAAATTATCAGTGAATGAGAGTATGAAGGCCAGAAAACTACCCTGAAATACCCCAGATATGCACACCCACCCCTTAAGCATTGTTAAATCAGAAAGAAACTCTGCCTACAGACAGGCCAGACTCACGGTGTCACTAACCAGTCTCCTGATCTGGAACAAAGAATGAAATGACCTCATAGTTCAGCAGAGGGCTTTGGAAAAAGGGTGGAGGCAGGCTCCCTTCTCCTGGGAGCCAAGATAACTGAAGACTACCGAGGAAAGCAGCAAACTTTGGGACAAACTTCCTCACAGCTGGCAGAGGTTAGAATTATAATTTGTTATAATGCAATAAATAAGTAAATAAATAATGGCTGATCTGTGTAAATTCAAATCTGTTGGCTTATCCTAGACTCCCGTGGGGCTTTTGTTTTCAGGCAGGGTCTCATGTACCCCAGGCTGGCCTTAAACTTACTGTGTGGCCAAGAATGATGACCTTGAACATCTGATCCTCCTATTTCCATCCCCTGAATGCTGAGATTATGGGTATATGCCACCAGACATATGCAGTTCTGGGGATTGAACCTGGGGCTTTCAGCATGCTACCAACTGAGCCATTTTTCAGAGCGAGGAATAAGGCAGTTCCAGCCTGTAAAACTCCCTCTGTAGTTTCAATGTGCCCAGTCTCTGTGTGTCTGTGTGTAACTACAGCACGGAGCTGGCAGCTTGCTCTTCTTAAACTTGGCTTTGGTAGCCTTGTGCACAGGGGCGCCTTACATTGCCTACAGCCTGGTGACACTGGCAGTTTAATGCTGAACACTCTGGGAACTTAGGCACTGTCCCTGAACTAACCACAGATAGCTTCAAAACAACCTGGCCACAAGTTTAATTCTTCCTTGGGCTCCCGGGTCTAACATTTGTGAACATTTGACAAATCTTTTGCCTTTCAGACTGGACACTCAGAAAAGGATGTCTGCTGCTAGGTGATCTGTGGAGATTAAATGTTGCCTTCCTTACTATCCTGTTCAACGTCAGAGTGTGAAAAAGGGTCTAACATGGTGTCGGTGATGGAAGGGTCGTCATATATGTAGACAAATCATAAGAGGATCCAGAGAGGCCTCGGTTTTTTTTGGTTGGGCTGTTGACCACCACAGATGTTCTTAAACTTGTGCTTACGTGTGCAAGGGTATATACAGACTTAAGGGTTTCCTTGAGAGCTTAGATTTGAAGCTGTGATAAACCTTGGCTACTCCATGTTAATCAAAACTCTTAAGATAATGTTTTGTTTTGTTTGTTTGCTTGGCTCTGTGGAACTTAGGCTGACTTCCAGAGTCTGGATAAGATTTGTCCACAATGGTTCATGTTCTAGACACTTGGACCTTGGTGTGCTGACGTTCAGGTGGCAGAACCTTTAAGAGATGGGGTCTAGTGGCAGGTGGCAAGGTCATGGGAACTGCCCTTGGAAGAGATTAACTCGGATCTCATGAAGCCGGTGAGTTCTCTGGAGACTTCTCACTCTCTGGTCTCCTGTCCTGACTTTGGACTTTGATCTATTTCCTGCCATCATGAGATTAGCTGCTGCAAGGCCAGAACCAAAAGCCAAGGAGAAGTAAACAGCGTACACTAGAACTTCCAGACCTGAAAACTAAGTAAACCTCTTTTCTTGACACATAATCCAGCTTCTAGTATTTGGCTATAGACATGGAAAATAAGCTAATACAGAGTTTATCAAACTTAAATGTAAAACAAAAGTGAAATAAGTCAGGGATTCACCTGAAGGACAAGGTGAGAGTAGGTACCTGGGTTTATTTTTAGATTTAGGGCACATACGAGAGAGAAAGCTAAATTATTTAGCGGTGTCAGGTGGGAAAAGATGAGGACCAGGTATTTTAAGAATTTTCTTCTAATATGGCCATTAGCCAACTTTGCACCAGGTTGAGAAAAGATGACATAAATATCTGAACAGAGAAGAAAATAGCTAGAGAGAAAACATTTTAAAATACGTTGCCTGTTTTTCTTTCAGCTTGGAAGTCCTTAGAATGTTGTGCAGAAAATTACCCTAGCAAGGCCACTTTGGTAGTCTATTGTCATGTGAGGCAAGGGTATGATAAAACTGTGAGCTATTTCGGAGACTATTCAAGAATAGCTCATGGGATGTAGAGATCAACACGTAACTATGAAGCTGTAGCTAAGTTCTGACTTTGTAAATAAAGACAATTGTGTTCAATATAGTGACAGTGGCTTAACCTGCTCAGCCATCAGTTTTCCCATATGTGAATCAGCATAAGACAGTTGTGAAGAGATGATAGATGATGGCAGGTAGATAGATAGATAGATAGATAGATAGATAGATAGATAGATAGATAGATAGATAGATGATAGAAAGATAGATGATAGGTAGGTAGGTGGATGGATGGATAGGTAGGTACATACATACATATATTCATAGATGATAGATGATAGATATGGACAGATAGATAGATGAGAAGAGAGAGAGAGAAAGTACAGTTCAGACTCTCCTGGTAGAATTTGCCTGCGTTTCTATCAATGTAGGCCAGCAGCAAATGGAACCATCTGCTTTAACATCCATAAATCATGTCAAGAGTATAAAGGCTGTGTGCGTGTGTGTGTACTTGTGTAGCTCAGTGCCGATAAACTCCACGTTATCCATGCTACCTGAGGAAGTCAATAAATTGGTGCTTTCTGCTGGTTTATACTTTAATGTACGATTAGCAGCTCATGGAGGTGATGAAGTCATATGACTTTTACAAAATTATGTTTATTTTTCTTTTATGTGTGTTCTTTCTCTCTCTCTTTCTCTTTGTGTGTGCGTGTGCATGTGGACACATGCACACCCAGTGCCTGAAGAGGCCAGAGGAGGTCATCCAAGTCTCCAGAACAGGAGTTGCAGATGCTTGTGAGCCACCTTGTTTGTGCTGGGAATTGAGCCCAGGTCCTCTGTGGGAACAGCAAGTGCTCTTATCCATTGGACTATCTCACCAGCTTTGTCATTTGAGTTTTTGAGGCACATCATCTCCCATCCCAAGTCCCTGCCAGGAAGCATAGATGAGAAAGAAAGCATGAAGAACGGTGCCATGACATGCTTAGAGCCACACTGAGGAGGTATCACCAGCATCTAAACAGGAAGGAAGACAGTGCACCCATAACCTACAGTCCCCCAGAACACTACACTACTGTACCTTAGCTGCTCCCCACTCGCCTGCTTACATTCTGAGAAGTGAGAAAACTTCCTTGTTGTAGGCATCAAGCCAGTATCTCAGATATGTTATTCTCTTTACCCTCATAACTGCCTAGGCTAGATGGTACCATTCTGATTTCACAGAGTGAAACTTACGGAGTGGACTTGTCTAAGCTGCCAGGATTGGTCCATTGTGCCTTCCACTCTCACCCTTGTGCCAAGGTACCCAGTGCACATTGTGGGATTTGTGTTCTCAATAGCCCAAGATCATGTTGTTATCACCCAACCAGGCCACATCTGTAGAGAGGCCAAGCCTCCTCCTATATTCTAAGTAAATCAACTTAAGAATCACTGAACTTGGCTGGGTGATAATGGTGCATGCCTTTAATCCCAGCATGTGGAAGGCAGAAGCAGGAAGCTCTCTGTGAGTTCAAGGCCAGCATGGTCTATTGAGCAAGTTCTAGGTCAGCCAGGGTTACACAGAGAAACCCTGTCTTGAAAAACCAAAAAACAGACAGAGAGATAGATGGATGGATAGATAGATGATAGATAAAATATATTGCTCAACTTTCCATGCCAACTTAGCACCAGCATTAAAACCTAAACAGCAAACCATCTGAGAATCTAGTCTCCAAATCCAGAGCACTGCACAAAACACACACAGAGAAAACAAAGAAACCAACGGTCACATTCCAAACAAAGCCTGGTTGTTTTTAACTACAATGCTCCATTCTGAAGAAACTGAGGCACAGTGGGACTCACGACTTCCGTGGGAGTACAAACCCATTCGTCTTTTTTGCAATTAAGTACATGGTAGGACCCTACACCTCTTCATACCATTTGATCAGTGAGACCGACTCGTGATCCATAAAGGGTCAATTTTCACTATGATATTAAATGAGAAAGGATACAGAAGTATACATAACTACAGTTCTGAAATCAGATATAGAAAGAACACTGAAGGCCTTACCAGAATACTAACAGCAGATATCTTTGTATAGATACACAATGCACCTCATATACATACACTCACATGCAACACCTGTGCGCGCACACCTCACAGCCCACATATGTGCACACTCACCCCCGACACACCATGCTCATGCAAGCCAGCCCGCCTGGAGCCCGGCCCGAGGAAACCATCTCAGGAAGAAAGGAACAAAGGTAAGCTCCCAGATCCTTTCCAAACCCTCCCCCAACACCCACCTTCAGAGAAGGTCCTCGAGAAGACCGGAGAGACTAGATAAA